ATCCAATAAAAATCATGTTACTCATCCTTCCACACAGTAATAAGTAATAATCTAAATATTACTGCAGAATTTATTTCAAACACTTCAGGATGAGCCCCTATATTTTTCATTCAATTCAAATCAACATTTATTAAGCATATGCTACTTGAAAGGAACTCTGTTAAGCTACTAGGGGATAGGCAGATAGATTCCCTCCGTCCCCACCCCCCACCCCTCCACTCCGCCACTCCCCCGCCACAAAAAAAAAAAAAGCTAAGGCAAACAGTCTTTACCCTCAAGAATTTTCATTCTATTGGGAGAATAGATGATGTACATATAGATATGTAAATTCAATGTCTATACAAAATTAAAGTTATTTCAAAAGTAAAAGAACCCCATGAACATAAATTGCGAAATAAAGCCACGTCCAATGGAGTCTTCCCCCGGACAATGTAAGTAATGGTTACCAGGAAAACTCTTGCAAAATTAGAGCGTTTAATTAAATTTCCTTTTGTGACTGCATTGTTTTCTTCTATGTGGGTTAAATGGATCATCGTCATAGTTAAGAGCAAAAAAAAAAAGAAAAGAAAAGAAAAGAAAACAATTACATAACCAGTTCACTTTCTTAAAAGATTAGTATATGGCCACCAGCCGTTTTATATAATAATCTTGGCTAGCATTTCCACAGCCTGTTTACTTTGGCTGCGCTTTTTGGAATAGCGAACATGCCTCAACTCACTTCCTCCTTAGAGTTTCTCTAAAGCACGTTAATATTTTAAGGACAAAGATCCTGCACAGACTTCTACCGAGGTGTGTTTTGCTGTTGGTAGCCCATGGAAGTAAAGTCTCACTGAAGGGGTCTTGGGTGAGTATACTCCCCTAAAAATGTTTGGGCTGATCACCCTGGCTTTGTGTGCTCTTTATTCTAAATTTTTGCATCACAAAGCATATTATAAATAGGACACTTAAATTGTAAGGGCCGGATTCTCAGGAAATGGGCTAGGGAAAGGTGGAAAACACGGGGGCAACGCCCTGATAGCAGTCCATGGAAATGTGGGTGCTGGTGTCCAGAGTAGTAGATTAGTGTGGGTCACCTAGGGATTTGGGGAGGAGATGCCCCCAAGACACCCCAAGGGTTGAGTACCAAGTTAGCTGAGATGAAATTGTCAGCTGCTGGCAAAGAGATGAGGATGTTGGGAAAAGACCTAGGTCTTGAATGAGATATGCAAACTATCCCCACTCCAATAATAAAAGTAGTGAAAGAGAAGGAAAACGCCCTGCTACCTTAGTAAGCAGATTTGCGGGGGCCAGAGAGTGCCTAATACCCAAAGTGAAGGTCGGAGAATGGAATCCCGGAACGGGCAGGAATTGTAGCATCTGAGCCTGATGCGAAGATAACAGATGCAGACCCTCTGCCATCATCACAATTTAGGCCCGTTTTAGAGAGCCAGATGAAGCCTAGGCTATGGGGATACAACCTATTTACATAGATGTTATCTCCCTGGTTAGAATTGTTAATTCTTTAAGGGCGGGGATTATTTCAATGTTACCATTGTATTCCTACCTTTTAGCTCATATCTGGAATAGAACTGGTGCTTACTAAATGCTTGTTGATTGGGAGAAGGGGAAGCTAGGTAAATTATATTGTCATTGAAGAGTTATAAAATTGTAAAGCTGATGGAGTCAGAAGGACCTGAGTTCAAATCCAGCCTCAGAAACTTAACACTAGCCGTGTGACCTTGGGCAAGTCACTTAACCCCGATTGCCTCACCAAAAAGCAAAAAAAAAAAAAAATTGTAAAGCTGGAAGCAAGCTTAAGGATATTTGAGTTAATATATTTTAGTAATTTGACACCAAAGGAAGCATAATTGATATTCACATAGTAGTTTAAGGTTTGCAAAACAATTTACCTGTCTTCTCTATTGAACTTGATCCTAAAAAAACTATGTAAGAAGTGTTACAGGCATTGTTATCCCCATTTTATAAGGGGGAGAAACTGAGGCTGAGAGGTTGTGATTTGCCAGGATTACACACCTAGATTTTCCTGACTTCAGATCCAGCATTCTGTCTACTATGCCACATTGCCTCTCCTGTCACTAGCTAAAAACACTTAGTGAAGGTTAGAATATAGCTACCAGTTATTGATTTAATCATAGATTTAGGGCTGGATGGTATCTTAGAGGGTAACTAATCCACCCCCTCATTTTACAGAAGATAAAACTGAGGGCCAAAGATTTAAAGCGATTTGCCCTAGATCATCCTAAGGAATGTTATAGCTTCCCCAACCAGCTAAAACTAAGAAGGCCCAGAGAAGCTGAAAAGGCCCTGAAAGGGAAACTGAGTCATCCAGTGTAAGATCTGCAGGGACCTGGGGCAGGGTCACTAGCACAGGTGGAGCAGAGGCTAGGGTAAGTAGTAATGGGTCTGAGGCCTCTTGCTAGTTTTAAACCTTCAGTTCACCTCTTAGTTCAAGTGGACTTGAACTAAGTGGACCTTCCTATTCCTCTAAGGAAGTGGCTACCCACTTGCCTCTCCAAGGCAACCTAGTTAGCTGCTTCTGACCAGTTCCCCTGCCCCAAGGGCGGGAGTAAGGGAGGAGAACACAGTGAACTCTCACCTCTATCTCCACCTTACCTTTCTATCCCTGCCATTGGCACACAGTTTGTTGGAGGTTTCCAGTGAGATTTTGTTTTACAGAAGTAGCATCAAAGGGAAACAGATGAGGGGGGAAATTCCATTGCAACACCTCTCCCACATTTTTTTTCTGCTATTAGAGCTGCCTTCTCTTTACCCAATGTGCAAACCAGTGGAATAGAAAGAATGTCAGTCCCAGTGAAGAGGTCTAGGACTTTTGGGGTGCTGCAAACCCAAAATCGCAGTACTGGGCCCTGCTGAATGAATTCAACTCAAATCTTCTTCAGCCAGAGGAAAAGTTTATTAGTGATAAATCACAGAAGCCAGGTGACACCCATAAGAGCATGAGAAAGGCTCAGCCTTTGGGGCAGGACAGATTCTCAGCCGGGTGACGCTGTAAAGACGAGCGGGCACGAGAGGTTCTCAGCCTTGTGGGCCTGAGATTCTCAGTATCTGAATGGCGGCTAATGTGGATCTTAAATACTAAAGTAACTTTGGGTGGCCAGAGAAGGGGGTTGGGAAAAGGGTCTAGGTAAGACTTCTAATTGGGGAGGTCTGAGAGATTGAATAGACAATGGGAATAGATAATGAAGGAACAGGAAGGCAGAAGTTTGAAAGGCATCTGCACGAAATCAAAGGGTGGGGCTAGGACTTTCAAAAGGAGATAAGGGGAGTAGATAAGGAACAGTTTGAGACTAGAGAAGGCCTTTCTGGGGCCTATAGACAAAAGGGAGCCAGATTCTTTTAGGGCCATCTGAATAAGATTAAAAGGTAAGGCTAAGGCTTTCAAAGGGAGATGAGGGTCTGGAGCCTGTGAGTCAGATTCCATTTGGGGCAAAGGGCAAAGATCTTGGCTTGGGCCCCGCCCCCATCACCAGGATATGAACTCATGTACAGGGGACTTTCCAAGATTGTTAAAGTGCATGAATCAGGGAATTTCCAGTGGGATCATACAGATTCCCAATATAGAGGCACTTAATGCTAATTTTTACGCAGCCTCTCTAATTCGGTATAACATGACATATAGAGAATACTACATTGGAATTTCAAGAGTTCAGGAGTCACCTCCATATCATAATGAGGCATCACAATAGGTCTTTATGGGCATTTGGGGGGGCAGGTGTTTTACACAGGGTTCACTAGGAGAAGGGGAGGTAAGCACTAAGGGATGTGTTTTTAGGTCTACCATGTCACTAAGTCAACAGAGGGTCATGGTCACCATATCTGTTACCAGTCAATCTCTTGTTTAGACAAAATAGATCAGGGAGTGGTGGTATGTCTTGACTTCTGGAATGTATATGGTAACTGAGGGAGTCAGTAGGAGATAATTCTGTTTATACAAGGGAAATTCTACAGAAGTCATCTTGTTCTGATAACAGAGACAGATAGTTTGCTTCACTGGGACCCACTCATGAGTTATTGCCAGAAATATAGTCTTTGGGCTGGGGTCCAACCACCCCATCAGCGACATATGTATTGAGAATATAGACAGCTTATGTGCCCCAGGGGCATGCTCCTACGTTAATGTCAGGAAACCTAGAGGAAAATACCCCAGACTGTTGGGTGACCACCAAGTAGAAGATTTAAGTGAAAGCATGGGTGCAAGAGTTTTGCAGGATGAGAAGGCATTGATGAGATCATAGATCCATCAAATCTGAAATATGCAGATAGCATTGTCTTTGCTGAGCTTTGCAAGGGAAAGGCCCATGTCTCTCACTGGACCTTGTGCTTTGAGGGCATTAGAATTATGTTAATCTGTACATGCCTTCATTCAAACCGAGGAGGTATTTTATTGCCAAAGGGACTCCATAGGAAAGATGAATATGATCTGTTCAGGATAAGAATCGATCACATAGTAATTACTGGGAGAAAGGGGGCATAGGGTGGTATCCCTTCTCATTTCTCATGGTCTTAGAGGAGAGGTAGTGGGTCTTAATGGATTGACAGCTGGTCTTGGAGTCAGGAGAACCTGGGTTTAAGTCCTCCTGCCTCTGACAAGTATGGGTGATATGACCCTGGACAAATCTAAGCCTGTAAAGTAGCAGATGAGGTATGGATATTGAATGAGATGTCCCAGTGAAGACTCCTCAGTGTAATTAAGGTTTGTAATTAAGGAGTCCCATGAAAACTTCTTAGAAGAGTAAATAGAAATTGTATTGTGACTCAAGGCAGGCATAGCAGCCTTACATGACTAAGTTTCGGTTTACTAGAAATCACCTGATTTAAGGGAATCCAACCCCAATACCCGCCCCCTTCTATGCCATTGCTATATCGGTAGTTAAAGTTTTCCAAGTCTGAAACCCTTGAAGCCCCTGTCTTCCACGCCCCTCCCATATCTTGTTGTATGTGGGAAAAATAGAAGGGAACTGGCAGGGAGGGGGAAAGGGAGAAACTGTGAGAAAAAGAAAACTGGCCAGAAGGGATACTAATATATTTAGGGTCTGCCTAAGATTTTACAAAAATGCTCTAAGATTAAAGGGGAAGAAGGGTGGAGTCTGGGCAGTAGTTTGGAGCCCCACCCACCGCCTTTCTTGGCTTTTAAAACTACTGGGTTTGCAGTTTTCAAGTTCACAGTCTCTGAAGGTCTGACTTTATTTTTTCACTGAGCCTTTGGAAAGAGAAGAGATGAGTTGGAAGCACAATCCAAGAAGCTATGACTATGGCTGGCAGACTAGAAGCTCTGAAAGTTGGTACGGGCAACCATACCAGGGATCAGGTAAGTCCCCAAAGGAAATGAGGTAGGGGGATGCTAACCTGGGGACAACTGGAACAGAGTTCTCTTCCTGGGAGAGGCTGACAGAAAGTGAATTATCAGGAGCAGAGTGCTGCTCTGTCCGTCTGCCCTGTCTCATGAGGCTTTCCCAGCTCCTAGGATCAAAGATTTAAAGCTAAAATGCATCTCAACAGGTTATCTAATCTACCCCACTTCCATTTAACAAATGAGACAATTTAAGTCTGAGCAAGGTTAAGTGAAAACCCAAGATGACAAAGGCAGTGGTAGTAAGTGGAACAGCTGGCTTTTGAGGTCACTTCCAGCTCTAGGTCTTCAATCCTAGTCCACCTGCTTCATCTAACAGGTAAGAAATCCCACCTGCAGAGGTTAATGACTTGCTACTCAAAATCACTGCTCTAGTAAGAGGCCAGCTGGAGGGGGCAGGGAGGGAGGTGTCAGATGAAGGGGACAGTGATTATTAAGCATTTCTTCTACACCTTTAGTGTGTAATGGTGTATATTTTAGCTACCTCTGGGTCTTCCCTTTCAAGACTTCCAAGAAAACAGGGCCTGGGGTCTAATTTTGCTACACTGAGAATGTCTAAAATGAACTCAATAAATTTTAATATTCAGATAAAATCATTTAAAAAGACAGAGAAATTGCAAGCTGAGTTCTAGGAAAGTCTCATGAATTGAAATGATAAATTTGAGTATATGCTTTAAAAAATATGCATCCTTCTAGGAACTAGACTTATTGACCAAGCTCTGCTCTCTTCAATCTATCAGAAATGATGGATGGGATATCTGCGTAACAGAGATCAGCCTCTGCCCAGCAACAGCAGAAGTTCTACTCAGTAACAAAGACCTTATTTATGAAACTATGTAGTCCTCTTCCTGTGGGTTTTTTTTTTTTCATATTGAATTGCTGTCTTTGATTTAGAGGCAGGCCCAGCCTGTAACTCCAGATCTGCTACTTAACTCTTGAGTGTGACAACGGGAGAGTGATTTTCCTACCTTGGGTCTTGGGGTTTCTCTGTAAAATGGGGAATAGATGAGGTGGATCAGATTGGGTGCTTGGGTACCTGTTCTTGGACCCCAATTTCTCCCTGGCCTCAGAAACACTATCCCTGGCAATTTTCGCCCAGCCCAAGGACACTGTCCCTAGCAATTATTGATGAGTGGGCCTCAGCAAAACACTTATCTCTCTCCCTGGTGACAGAGCTGGATGAGAGAGTGCTGGGCTGCTCCCAGCCTTAAGATCATGTCTCTGGAAGCCTCCCAATTCCTTAGTAAGCTTCAGTCTTGTGAGAAAACTTTTCCTCGTTGCTAATCAGGACAGAGAGAAAGGGGTGTATTGTCTGGGCCAAGGAGTTTTTGTCCCTGACTGGCCCAGGGACTCTTCCTCCCACCAGATTCCCAATATCCTCCGACATCTCCCTCCCTTTCCTATCTGGCATGCTACCTACACTTCCCATCCATGGCTCCCAAAGACACCCGGACCTTTAGATTACCTAATTAGTGTCACTGGCATTCCTTTCCCATGCCCTTTTCCATATAAACCCCAGCTCCATCCTTAGTCTCTAGCAGGTTCCTTAAGAATAAATCCTTGCCTGCTGAAAAGCATAACAATAAATCTTTTGTCAACTTGACTCAATGCTTGAGTCTGTGAATTCATTCCAGATGACTTCATCCTGAACTCTGGTCTTTGAGGGGTCTCAACCTCTCAGACCACAACAGGTCTCTATGGTATCCTTCCATGTATATAAAATCTATAATCCAAAATTGGGAAGCTCCTTTAAGGTACCTCATATGTTGAGCCCCCTACATGTTCAAAAAATTAACCGTACATTTTAGTAACAGATAAAGGTAATGATTTAGATAATATAATAAATATTACTTCTATAATCTGTAATTTACATATATAAACAAATGTAGGTAATCATACAGAATAAATAATAGTATGTAGAATGAACTTTTAAAAAGTAAACTACCCACAGCCTGGCTTAGTAGATATTCTTCCAAGAAGGAAGACTGGATTCCTATTCTGTCTTCCTCTGACACTTGTTAGCAACTGTAACTGGCTTTACTTCCCAACTCCTCAGACAACACATTTATAAGTTGGGGAACACTTGCAGATCTACATTAACTTGGATCATCTTCTATTTACCTTCTCCCTAAACCAATAAAAACACAGATCTGTACAGGAAAAGAGTGCTTTCAGGTTTACAAAATGGTCTATAAGCAATTTTCATTTTATCTTCACTACAGCCCTGTCAGATGATATTATTTGCCCCATCCCATCGCATTTGTGTTTCATCAGAAATGATGAAACTGAAGCTTAGGAAGTTAAGTTACTTGTCCATACTCATACAGCTAGTGAATGAGGTAGGATTTGAATCCAAGTCTTTCATAACCCCTAAGGTCCAGGCTTAGAGTTTAAATACACAGCAAAATGACAGATCTTTATTTGGTAAATGTGAAGGGCTCTGGTTTTAGGACCACAGGAATCTAGTCTGACCCCAAAATAGGAATTAGAAGATTAGATTATAAAACCAAGACTGATTCTACAACATGGCATTGGGAACAAATCAGACTTTAGGGGCAAGAAAGGTGGGAATTTGTCTTCTCCATCAAGATCGAATCTCAGAACTGAGTTTTTAGGATTTTTAGAAAGAAGTCAATTATGGCAAAGAGGAGAGCCAAAATATGTGGCCTGCACCCCCTAGCCCCTATGAGTTATACGTTATTTAGAATTCAAACAAAGTAGCAAGGAAAGAGACACAGAGATTGATTAAAATGTAGACCTCAGGAAACTGAATTCCTTGCATCAATCTTTGGATTCCCTGGAAGGTTTCTGGGGTCAGCATGACCTAGACATTCTGAGCTAAGCATTAAACTAGTCTAGTCTGTAAGCAATATATGTCTTAATTTCTTGTCATGCAAGTCTAGATTCAAACAATGTAATAACTACCCTCAAAGTCTCATTTAGAGTAATACACTATAGAAATGTGTTTTACAGACCCTAACACTGTGTACATCAAGGGTACCTGCAAAAATAATGGAAGACCAGGGGCGCGAGGAGGTATTGGTGCCTCCTGGGGACCAGGCAATGAGCAGTAAGTACAGTCTTTAAAGAAGCTAAAAATTACTTAAGATTTTAAAGAGGTAATTGGACAAGTCATGAGGCAAGTTCCAAAATTATCCTTTCTCAGTGCATTGTGGGAGAATTATTTGGAAAACCAATAATAGAAATTTATTTATTACTCTTAGGTTTACAAGTAATTTAACATTTACCTGGGAGCCAGAGTCATTATTAAAGCAGCACAGAATAGGATAGCAATATAATCTAGGGCCATTGATACTGTCCTACTGTTTACTGAACCTCACTTTGTCCCCATTTCCCAGGCTAATGAATTTGCCTGAGGCTGACCCAGATTTTGTTACTCCCAGCCTCTATTTTTGCATATCTCCCTAACTCTATCCCCATGCTTTTTCTTTGGACTTATGCTTGTTCAGCAAAACAACTTAACTTGTGAAACTGAGAGGCTCCTAGCCCCTTCCACCTGCTGCTTGGCCATTGTCTCTGCTCCATATAAATCCTGTTCCCAGCCCCCTCCTTTGGTACCCCAGCACAGGCTGCAGCTCACTTGCTCTGATTAAAAGACCTCCATTTTGCTATATTGGCTGGATTCTCTTGAATTCAGGTTGACTGTATCTTTTGTTTTACAGAATGGATGATACCTAGAAAACCTTTTAAGAATGTGAAACTAATGTTCAATTATATTAACCTTCTAAAATCCAAAATGTTCTAGGCTAGAGTATTCTTGTGTATTACATTTTTATTGTTTTTTTTTTTAAGCAGAAACATAAGTGATACATATTCTGGACGACAGACAAACCAAAGTGCATCATTAGAAGTAAGTTACAGGTCTTGATCTTTAGAAGAAAAATATCATCCTGAAGTTGATCATTTTAGGTTTTCATTCATTTCTGTTAATAATAACTGTAGTTACAAATGCTTCCAGCTTTGTCTAAAGGCAACTGTGAGGTCTAACGGTACTAAGTTTGGAGTAAGGAGAACTAATATCAAAATTCTTTCTCTGAGGTTAATAGCACTATGATCCCTTAAGCCCAGTTTATTCCATTTCTAAAACAAACAGATGTTGAAGGACCTATTTTACAGGATTGTTTTTTCATAGAGTGTCCATGGCCTAAGGGGCACCAAGAGACTTTGCTTGGGAAGATGTTCATTTAAATAGCTAGCATTTATATGTAGGTTTGCAAAATGCTTTTATATTCTTTGTTTCATATACCATTGTCCCCATTTTAGAAATGAGGAAATGGAGATTGAGAGAGATTAAGTGATTGCTCAGGCTCACACAAAATTTAAGTATCTTGAGGCACAATTTGAACTCTAGCTAATTTCAAATCTAGTACTATCAACTGTGCCACCTAGCTGACATTTATTCATGAATCTATTTATCTTTACTGAATTGAAGCATTTCACATCTAGGGAATTGGAAAAGGCACCAGGAATGAAAATAAATATTTTAAGAAACTCTTCTTGCTCCCTTGTCAGGAAACAGGAAAAGCTTTAGCAAGCATGTAACCTCCCAATATCTTTCCATTTCTTATCCCATTGAAGGGGATGGGATAACTCCAAAATTGGTACCTCCTTCCAAAATTATCTCATTGAAGGGGATGGGATAACTCCAAAATTGTTACCTCCTTCCAAAATTATCTTTGTCTTCATATTTTCTATATTTAAGTTTTTGTCAAAATTGTATCTTATGGTTCCCTTTACCACTCCATTACTTAGATAAGTACATAAGTAGTAGTATAAGATACAATAATCAGAAATAAGATTGTAAAGGGAAACAGAAGTAAGTTGCAAGACTGCCTCATAAATTAGGGAAGCATAGAAGCGGTTGGCAAACTGTAAGCTATCTAAGGCCACATTCTGACACTGCTAAATCAGGAGAAGCTGCTAAACCAAGTCCCTTATGTTAGGCCTCCTAACAGCCTGTCATCAAACTATGTAAATTATAGATCCCTAAAGTGGTACCTATAACTTTGAGGTGATACTGGAATGTTAATGAACTAGCCCTGAAATGGGTTAGATAAGAATGTGTTCTGTACCACCAAAATCCCATTAAAATGGGTCCCTGGAGCACTCCTACCTTCCATTTCCCTCATCACACCTTCATTGCTGTCAAGATATCAGGAGACAGACACCCTGTTTTTCAGGTTAGAGGCTGATTACATGTCCAGTTGACATTGCTCCAACTTGTAATATTGGAGATGTGTTGTTAGCATTATCAGGGTTGGACTTCTGTATTACTTGTCCCCTTCTAATTTCCTACTGTGGCATTCCTTTTTATTCATGGTTATTCCCATTTCTAAAATACTTCACAATAATATGGTGTAGGATATCCAAGTATTATCCCTATTTGACAGGGAAGCAGGAGAAGCAAAGTAGTGGTTTCACAACCTAAGGTTACATGGCTAGTGGGGTGTGCCTGAGAACTCTGATGCTCAAAAGTGTGCATTCATAATTCTTATTTAATTAACACTAGAATGATGAAAATTGAGAAATCCCATGCCTTAGCAACTAAATATTTTTTCAAGGCAGCTACCAAAGTGATTGAGCAAGCAAAGGCCCAAAATATGGACAGAATTACTGTGTGCACAGATAACCAACTTATCACCAAAGGTAAGATTTCTACTACTTTCTTGGGATATGAATGTTATCTTCAGAGAAAAGGGACCAACTCATCTCTGTTCAAAAGCCTAGCAAAACAGATAAACCCATCCTCAAGAGATCCTAAAGTCAACCAGAAGGATCTAGTTTATATAACTTATGTTTCTCTGGGTAGTCAGAAGTCCTGGGCTCTGTAGCTATTTCTGACACTGACCAAAGCTGTTGGATATTGAAGTCACTTCTATTTGGGGTCAAACCCAGGTCTTCCAAAATCATCTGTCCCTACCACACTGCTATACTGTAGTAAGACAGCAGGTTGGTAGGATTAGGACTACTTTTATTTGGGAATTGTGCAGTTCATTTAAAGATTCCAAGCTCCTGGGTGGGGGAATGGATGACAGATGATGGTTGGACAAAAAAAGTCCATTAACACAAATATTTTCCCAGTGATGCTGTATGGTTGATAATCTCCCAAGGGTTAAAGGTGAGGGAAACAAGACAACAACAGACATGATGTATTCAATGGATCCTCTATGGATAATTTTTTTGGAAAATAGATAAGAACTACACAGGGATAAGGCTGTGAAAGGGTCTGTGTGGATAGAGTGAGCTGATGATGATAAGACTACAAATTAACTGAAGAGTTAAAATTTAACCAAGCAGTAGAATTCTGTGTAATAGTCGCAATTCTCTCCTGTGGTTACCAGCTACATGGTGATGCTAAACTTTAAACTCACCTGATCTCTGGTTATCACAGACTTAAAATGGAGAAAATGTTTCTGCCTCTTCTACTGCATGCAATGAAAACTGAATTTGAACAACTAGTCAGTGTTGTCTTCTTGTTTGGAGGTAAAGAGAATTCTGGTTTCTTAAAGGCCTTGACTTGAAAAGTGAGCATACTCTTTCCTAGGTCCTATCATTAGAAAAGCTTTATATTTAACCTTACAACTTTCATGATGGTCTTTGTCATTGAGGATTGGTGTAGCTAAGTTTGTAGGAACTGTAGGGTAATGACATTTTTCACCATGGCAAGTCTCAAAAAGACAGTATGAAGGCATAAAGAGAATATGATCTACATCCGTAAAAAAGATACTTCCCTCCTCACTACTACCTCTGACCCATAAATCCTTAATCTATTTTTGTTCTGAGAAAACCAAGTGCTCCTAATAATATTAATATTTACTGGGGTAGGGATTATTTTAACATTGGTAATAGAAGGAGAAACAGTTTGCATGTAGAGCACACATACTTTCTGTCTGTATGAAATGATATAGAAGGACTTTTGTTTTTGTTAAGACATTTAGGGAATAAAAGGTAATTTTTATGAGCTTTTAGATACTGCCTGGAATAAATGCAATCAGATGTATAACATCCATAACCTGTTATTTTGGAGTCTCTGGGGGAATGTATTTTTTTTTAATTATGGAGGCTTGATTAGGAAAAAAATTAATAAGGAAAGGCATCTTTAAATTACACAGGTATGAATGAATGGATTCACACATGGAAAGAAAATGACTGGAAAACAAGTAAAAATAAAGATGTTGTGCACAGAGACCAATTTGCTAAGCTGGATAATATGACTCGGGACATGGATGTTGAATGGGTGAGGAAGTTTTGTTTTTGTTGAGAGTTCTCTTTTCTCACACAATAATCCAAGGTAACAAAAGCATCTAGAAATCAAAGTTCAGAGTGTAATGTTGAATCTGTTTTTAAAGTTGCCTGTAATTCGAGATACTGAAAAGCTTTCAATACAAAATGCATTTTTGTCAGGAAATCGCTGAATCTTGCACTGTAAAAAAAATGGAATGAATGGTTTAAGAATTAAACCCAACCATTCAAAAAAAAAATCCAGGCTCTAATAATTAGTTGGCACTTCTCAATGTAACTAATAAAACCTCATCTATAAAATGGATGTAACACTCTTAACCTACTTCCATCCTGACACTCCAGGCAGACCCTGTAACAATTCACAATTTTCACTTGTTCTTTTGGAGTGGTCTGAAGTTGGAGGAAGCATTTTAAAAGGCATACCCGAAGAAAGGGGAAAGAGTCCCAGAAGCATGATTTTGAGTGTTTAAAATTTCGTAGTTGGTATTATAAATGCGAACCAGAACCATATTATTAGTATGAAAAGTAATTCACTTCCTTTCAGTAGATTGAGATGGATTTGGATCATTTCTATAGTATCCTTTGTGAGTGCTAACTCTGCTTAAATCTGGTAACTAGTGTTTGTGGTTTTCCTGTTTAGGAATGTTTAGGAATTAATTAAATTTCAACACTTTTTTTGTTTGTTTCAACAGAAGTATGTACCTGCTCGGTCAAAAGTTGAAGGCAGTGCTGAAGCTCAAAGATTAGCCAGAAAAGCAACTAGCAGAAAGTGAGAAGACGCAACTCAATACTTGGAGATGGTGTTAAAGTGTCATTATTTTTAACCCTGCGATATAATCTCCAAATTATTTTCTCTTTCCCCTCCCCCTTCTGTTTGAGCTATCTTCTATGGCTCTCTGGTAATTTTTTTTCTTCATATCCTTTCTCAATTTTTCTATGTGCTATTTTTTCTTTAATACTATAAACACACTATAAACAACTATAGAAATTGTTCACCTGTACTAACAATAAGAGAAAGGCAGATATCCTCATCTCTATCATAAACATCTGAACTCTCACTTGCTCAACTCTTGCTCCAGACCACCTAGAAATCAATCCAGACTGCTTGACTGCTCACATGACTTGGGGTAATGGGAGTCACCAACTTTTCCTTCAGGTAAAATGGATTGTAAACAAACCTTGCCATCTGTGTTCTCTAAGGACTTCCTGGCTTTACCATTTGCCCTGCTTGTATGCCTTACTCCATCCCAATATTATCTGACCTTCTGACAATCTAAAGATGCCAGTCTGGGCCACATAATTTGCCGCTGTGGTGTGCATCCTTTGTATCTCAGCACCTAAAGCTATGCTTTGCACTTAGATTTTTCATTCAAGTTTGATACCCTTTACGATGAGGACCTTACTAACCCCTCCAGGCAACTCATTCCTGATTTGTAACTGAAAACTGCCTTGCTGTAACTTCCAACCAAGATTCCTAATTTTGCCATTGGTGTAAATGCTCAATTAACATCCTGAAACATAACCTGGTTTAGCCCAGTTTTATTTATCCTTGAACTGAAACCCTAAAATTTATGGAAAGAAGGCAATAAAAATGCTAATGAAGAGGAAAGAAAACCACAGCTGGGTGGGTGCCAGCCTGTCTGGCTGTTGTTCTGATATGATAGTATGTATATGGCTTTCATGGGTAATGGTTTCTTACTCTAGTGGCAGCAAAACCTATTATCTACTTATCCACTTTAATGTTTTATGGTTCTAGGCTGGTGGATGGGGTGTGTGGGCAAAAAGAATTGTAAAAAAAAAAGATCCCCTTTGGGGGTGGCAAAAAAGGGGTGGTGATCTAAACAAACAGGTATCAAGCAAGCATTTCTCAATGTTGTGGGCACTGTATTAGGGGATGAGGCTAAAAGGCAAAAATGGAGGAGCTTCAGATAGAAAAGAAGGCAGTGCTGGAACTAAATCTTGAAGGAAGTATTTGAAAATGAATGACTTCTGGGCATAGAAAACAGCCAGTACAAAGATACTGAGGTGCTCTCTGCCCTTTGCATGTGCAAAGATAAGTTGAGGGTGTTATAGGGAGAATTATCTGCCAGCAAGTTCACGTGATAGGCAACTACTACTAAATAATGCTTAAAACTTGGGTTTTATTATACTTAAAACATAGATTTTGTTGTTGAGTTCATAACCCCATTTGGGGTTTTCTAGGTAGAGATATTAGAATGGTTTGCCATTTCCTTCTCCAGCTCATTTCCCAGATGCTAAAACTGAGGCAAATAGGGTTAAGTGACTTACCCAGGGTCACATAGCTAGTGAATGAGTGAGTTCATATTCTGACTCCTAAGCCCAGTGTGTATCCATTGTTCCTCCTGGCTGCCCAAGTGGAGGTTTAGGAGATAGAAAATAATCCTGAACTCCAACTGGAACTAATAAAGAGACCTTTATTAGGGAAAATTAAATCAGAGGGACAGGAGTAAATTTTTTTTAACATGTAGCCATCATTATGGCCTCTCAAAGATTATTTAATCCAAAAAATTTAAAAAAAAAAGATTTAATCCAGTTTCATCCACCCAGTGCAGGAATCCTATCTACAACCTCTGACAATTTCTGCTCAGAAACCTCCCATTATGAGGCATTCCCTCCTTTACAAGGTAGTTCATTGCATTGCTAGATAGCTTTTTTTTTTTTTTAGGGGGTGGGACAAGGCAGTTGGAGTTAAGTGATTTGCCCAGGGACACAGCTAGTGTCAAACGTCTAGTCTGAGACATGATTTGAACTCAGGTCCTCCTGACTCCAGAGTCTATGTTCTATCCACTGCACAACCTAGATGCCCCTAGATAGCTTTAATTCTTAGGAAGTTCATTATGTTGGGCCAAAATCTGCCTCCTTGCAATGCCACTCTCTTTTTCCTAATTCTGCCCCTCTATGGTCAACTTGAAATCAGGAAGACCAAAGTTTGAATCTCACCTTGGACTTTTACCAGCTAGACAAGGCTTTTAACCTCTGTTGGCCTCAGTTCACTTACCTGTATGAAAAAAAGATAACACCTACCTCAGTTGTTGTGAGGATAAATTAGGTAGTATACATAAAGCACTTTGCAAACCTTGAAATGGTATATAAATGTTAGCTATTATCATCATCATCCCTTGCAACCCTTCAAATACTTGACAGCTATTGTATCTTCAAGGCTTAGATCTTTTTTTCCAACTTCCTGCAATTGACCTTAGCAGTCTGGAGTACATTTACATTTTATTTGTCTTCTTCTGGATGGTTTCCAAATGATCAACATCCTCCTAGCATCTGATCCCTAAAGCCAGACACAACTCCAGCCATAGGTTATGCAGAGTCTAGGACAATGGTTCTCCCACCTTCCTCATTCTGGTGCCATGTCTTTATGGCACGTGCCTATCATCCCACTAGTTTTCTTTTGTTTGCTTGATTGGTGTGTTACTCTTCTACCACATTAATGACTCCTGTTGAGCTTGCAATCCTCAGAAATGTCAAGGGTTTTGCTATCTGCATTACTTCCTGGCTAGGCATCCTCCATCTTATGCTTATACAGGTAGCTGTCTAAACCTAAGTTTCCTATTATGTTTCATCTTGACAGATGTGGGTTATTACTAATTGTGAGGCAGCCTGACACAGTTTGTGGAGGACTAAGCTTGATGTCAGGAAGACCTGCTTCACTTTCTGCTTCAGACATAGATTAGCTGTGTGACCAGTGAATGGCATATGATCTAAGCTCTTGGTAACTTAAATTGCAGATAAATTGTCAAGCTTTATCTGTGATGGGAGTTTCCAGGATTTCTACTCAGATGAAATCATGGATGTGGAATATATTTTTTTAATTGGGCTGTGTAGGGGCAGTTAGGTGGCAAAGTGGATAGAGCACCTGCCCTTGAGTCAGGAGGACTTGAGTTCAAAGCCAGCCTCAAGACACTTACTGTGACCTCCATTGCCTCCTAAAACAAACAGATAAAATGTCCTATAGTTCCAACCTGTTGAGGGTTTTTTGGTTTTGTTTTTACACATTCTGGTTCAGTGATCCAGTGAATTGGATATTCCTCCCAGGTTTTCATCACCTTATTACCTTCAACCAAGTCCTTGATAAAAATGACGCTTAAGTCACTGGCATATGTTTAATGGAGAGTGGGCTCTAAAATGCTATTTCAACTGTGAGTAATTTTTATTTTTAAAGTGATGATTATTTTTATTAGGCAACATTAATGTGTTATGAAGAATTTTTTCCCCTGATCTCTCAGGGACAGTTTACTTTTCACAATCAACACACTCCAGGCCTTTGTTCAAATGGTGTTTGCCACCTGATATGCATCCACCCTCATTGTTACTAATTGTAGAACATAATTGAACTCAAAAACCTTTGGCTGTAAATAGAAATCCATTGGTGCCCTGTCAGGAGTATTTGTAATGACAGAAAGCACTAAAAGAGATGACCAGCAAGTGGCAGTGTTGGACAATAAGCAAGAATCCATCCAGGTGCCCCCAGAGGCCATGCTTCAAGAATATGGCAAAAATGCTTGGTTGGCACTCGGTCGAAAATGTTCTCCTTCTGGATAATGAATAAGATTCCTACTATGGGACCATGATTTCAACAAGAAAATTAAAAGAATACTGGGCTGAGCTTCTCCTTTGAAGGGTCTATGAGAACAATCCAGATTTCACATTGACTTATTTGCAAAAAACTAGTGAAGAATTAATCCAGGCATGAACTTTCACTTATGAAGAATTTAATACATTTAGAAGCTTGTTTTCTGGGTTTCTTCTCCACCCTGAAAATCTAAGATCTTTAGAATTACTAGCTTTCCAAGTGCTTTTAGGATATTAGGATTGGCCAGAGGCAGAAGCAGCAGTGGTGTCTGGGGCTTTGGCCCAATTGCTGATGTGGCGCAGAGAGGTGGAGGTTCCTTTTCCTTTCCACCAAGTTGCTGCCTCAAAGGGCTGTTAGAACCCTTTCCTGAAATATCCCCTTCTATCAGAGTGGTCTTCCACCATTGTGCCTCATGTCTTGGGCATCTGCACCACGTAAGACATGTGGGATCATCAAGTGGGAGGAAGAGCTGTGAAGAAAATGCATTCTGTCCACTTTGCTCACCTCCCTCTCCACATACAACACACTATACAGTAAGATAAGTATTAGCTTTCTCCAGTCCTTATTCTCTTTGCCTTCTCTTACTACTGAACTCTTTGGAACTCTCTTCTATTACTAACAAAATTCTCTTCAGCCTTCTAACATTCTTTCCGTCTTCTGGTGTTCCCTTGAAACCTAACTTCCTCGTTATGATACCCTCCTCTTGGTACCCTCTCCAAGGTCTGCCATTGCTTCTCTCACAATCCCTACAGAGAGGTAGGAGGAGTTGGCATACTCACTGCTATTTTCATAGCCTCTCTCAGCCACCATCCTTCTGCAGCTCTCCTTTAGAGTTAATTCCCTCCTGTCTAGAGCTTTTTTGCTGATATCTATAAACCTTCAGGTCACTCTCCTTCTTCCCCAATAAGTCCAATAGCTGGCTTACAATACTTCACCCTAACACTTCATGCCTGGCTTCTCTGTTCCTCATCCTCCTCAATTTCCATGATCTCTGTTTCCATCTACCTCAGCCACTGCCCCTACTGCAGCCAGGGCCATTGCCAGTTGTCCCGACCTGTCTTGCCACTGGATTCTGACGATTGTAGAAGAGAGTGAGGCTGATGACTTTTCACAGTTCTGCCTCATTTAAATCCAATTAACTTGAAAGTCAATACATCACCTTCCTGATGTCATTGATCCACTTTGAGAATGAAGGAACAAGAAAAACAACCAATCACCTACAGGAGTGGATATTCCTACTACCACACATTATCCAGATAAACTGAATTTGCCCACATGCTGGAATTCTTAGTTATGGCTCTGGGATGTTCAGATCTGAGAAAGGTGATCTAGCAATTCTTTTAATAGTAAATTTTATCGGTTATTTTTGATTATGGTCATTTCGAGATGTTCCCCTCTTGATACTTCTAATGGGCCCATGCTTATAAAAAAGAAAACCAGTTAATCAAAACCAATCCAAAAGAGTGACCACTTCTGTTACTGTATGTAATATTCTAAACTTGTAGGCCCTCCGTCCAATCTACTGAAAGGAGACATGCATAGACATAATCTAGTTCAAGAGGAAAATCAAACCAATATTACTTTACAACATTTCTGAGACAAAGAAGAAATTCTTTATTTAGACATAATTTTTTAATAATTTGATTTTTATTATTTTAACAATGAAAACAGAAACAAAGAACTATGCTCTCACCAAAACAACATTCAAAGAAATTTCCAAAAGCTTCGTACGCAGCTCTGCAATGTAAGGTTTTTGAAAGATTTATTGAAATAAATTATCTCTGCCTAAATATTTACTATTCTATCCTTTTGCCAATTATCTTTAAACAGCATAAAAACTTGCCATTAAAATAATCCTTTGCCAATAATTCTAGATAATATTGTATTCTTCCCAAAAGGATTGTGATAAGATTCAGTTTAATGTTTAAATTACTCCAGTGGGACAAATTGAACTGTGTAACCTATGTTTCAGATCTTTAACATTAAACGTGTGAAGGATTTCAAAGGGTTAGGG